TCCACCCGGCTGCCCAGCCTTGTGTGAATCAAACAAACACATGGTTTGACTGTTTCACTAAAGATCTGAGGCTACAGAACCAGGTCAACCATTCTGTTACAAGTAATCTTGGAAGGCTAGGGCTGAGGGCCGAGGGCCAGGGTGTTAGGTCCTGAAACAGGGTGACTGTGGTATCTACTCTCAAACACATACTCTGAACATGGATGCAGGCCAAAGACATCCAAAAAGACAATTGAATCCAAGTGTTTACAACTTGTCGTTTTGCAACCTTTGCACTTGTCGCTGGGCGATGGGTTGGACACTCAACATCGGAGGCGTATCAAAACCAAAGCCCTAAACCTATATTATATAGCTCCAGTGGTACCGAACCTGAGAAGCTGGGACTGGGGTCCCGGGTGCCAGGGTCCGGGTCCAGTCACACCGAACCTGAGGAGGTACAGCTGGAGGCCTAGGGAAACTGCAAACACCCTTTGAAAAAACATAACTTCCCACTGCCGTGGGGACTTGCGTTTCGCAACATCTCTTCCCATCCCGGTGGCGCGCGGGGCGAGCGGTGACGCGCCCGCGCCACGGACGCTGACCGAGGGGCGCCTCTTCAAGGCTTCGAACCTCAAAGAACTCCATCCATGCCTCTGAAAGGCTGCAGAAAGTGCTGCCATAACTGTTTTGTTAAGACGTCATCAATGACATGTTACAATAATCAACAACCTTGCCAAAGAAAAGGTTAAATACCCTAACAAGTGGAAGACAGTTTTGAACGTGTTGTACTTCAAATACACTCTAGAAACACGCCCAAGAAATCAAAGAAAGACACAAAACCACACAAACATACAAACATAGAATAAACAACCTAGACACACCTTGAAAAATCCTTTAGAAGTAAAACAGTGAAACATAGTGAAGCACTTTAAAACGATGCAGCCGGAACCTATGTTAAAAAACAATGTGTTCCAGAATTGAACTTTGCACAGCATCTTCATAGGAATAAATAGCTGGAAACATGTGTGAACAAAAACAACAACAAAAAACCTAGAAATACACCTAGAAAACAATCTAGAAACATTTAGACATATTAAGAGTGAAACGCTCTACCTATGTTTAAAAACAGTGTGTTTCAGACTTGAAATTTGCACAGCATCTTCATACATGGAAAAATCCATGAAATGGTTGACATCCCTGCGCGTCTTGCACAAGGAACAAATCCTTATCAACAAAAACAATTGGCTCGGTTCCACAACTTTGAATAAGCCGCTTGTGGAAAAACTTGAAGCCTACTCATAAAATGCCCAATTGTTTCACATGTAAAGTAAACGTTGTTGTATGTTCCTCCAGAACTTTTGAATCAACCCTACATTAACACAAACTTGAATTAACATATGATGTTAACCCAACTTTAACTTTTAGCTGATTTATCTAACAAAAAGCAGGCCTCATTGCAGTGCAGGTGTTATGTTCAGTGCTCTTGGTCCCCCCCTGCATGGTCAGTGATATGCTATCCTCACCTGTCCTCACCCGAATAAACCAGTTTTCTGTGGACCCGCCGTGTCCATCGACACAGCCGATGAAAGCGAAGCAAGCAATTCTCACGAAGACGACGAGCTGAAACTTAAGCCGTTGGTCTAGGAGCCTAACGGATCTCGATATCAGAAACACCACAACGACACACGTCGGACCAACACCTCCGAAACTCCCCCAACGCCTCACTCTCCGTCGCTTTCATGACCTCAGCTCCCAAAACCCAGCGCGTGTTGGGAGTGAGCATCGCATGAAAAACAGCATTCCTTGGGGGTTCTTGCTACGTTCGTAGTAAGGCCAGGAGCGCCCCGTTCGTCGCGTCCGATCGCTCCGTTCGTAGGGATGCCCCTTAAGGTTACGTTCTTAGCGAACCTTGTTATGATAATATATATATATATATATTGTTCTTTCCCCGAGCTTCCCATGACTCGCTGGTTCCCCCACCTGGTAGTCATGGTTCGCCACCTCTAACTTGCTGCGAGGGTGAGTTTTCAGGGGAAGTGCCAATTATTTGTCTACTAATACTTGGGAGATTCATCTATATTCTTCCCACCTGGAGCCAGCATCTCCTCTCAGGGCACTCACACAACTTTGGTCGTCTCCGAGACGTCTCCCCTCCCAACTAACACGGACCCTGACAATGGAAGCCTCAAAACATTCATGACAAAGAAGTTCCAGAACACCTGCAAAGTACAGGATACTGGCACGGCACCTTGTCCGCTTCCGTTCCATGTGCTCCCTCTTTGCAACATGCATGTATGGAAAAGGATGGAAAAGGACTCTCAGGAACAAGTCACAGTTCGATCACCAAAAAGGGGTGGGTGGGAGAGCAAAAACTGAGTTTCTCCCCCCGCCTAAACCTCCCATCTTCCTCCATGTTCCATCCCCATCTACCGAGCCACTCGGGGGCAGTAGACCCGCTTCCCCGCACTCAGCGCGGCGGCCAAGATGGGCGTGGTGCGCAGCTCGCCTTTTGGCATCGCCAAGAAGAGGCCGATGCTCCGACTGGCCGCCCAAGTCCTGCTGCCAAGTGACGGGTCATCACTTGGAGGCGAAGGCCAAGCGACGACCACGCGTGGTAGGAGGTAGGAGGGTAGGAGCTAGTTTCGGGTCGTTGGTTGGAGCTAGTCGTCTACTTCGTAGGCTCTTGTTGTGGAGGGGGTGGACGGGGGGTCGAAGACCGAAAATTTGTTTGGCAACACATTGTTGTGAAGAGATGGCCATGAAGTGACAGGGATTCAGAGGTTTCTTGAACTATCAACAGTAATAATATGTTTGCACCTCCCCGTCTTTGACACATCCTTGCACATCTCCATCTTCCCGAACAGTAGCTTGGTGATGTATTTTGCGGAACATGTTTAATGATGTCTAATTAGTTCGCATCAGCCTTGGAGGGAGTTCAATGGACTATCCACTGTCTGAACACAAATGTGTTTCAATCCCAAATCCAACACCGATTGAAACAAGTCAACCATTGGTTCAAAAAAAAGCAAAACGAAAAGACAACATTCACGCAATCATGCAAAGCATCGTCTGCCAGTGTCTGTTGAACCTCCCGACCACCACGCGCCTGCTTCGCGTCAAGCGCTCACACACTGCCTCGCTCTGACGGTTCAGCTCGTTGTCCTCGAGAAGTTTCCTTGGACTGTTCGGCTCACGGTCAACATGCACAACAACAGACCCTCAACACCTGAAAAAGGGAGGTTATGATTCGGGTCCTTGGTATCTCATGCAAAGTGCGTAAGCGGGTATAAACAAAAAAAAACAAGGAACAACACGGTTGATGCACAGAAGTCCCATCGGAGATGGCTCCAAATCACGTTTCCCATGCGTCCCATGCGTAGACTAGTTATATAATATAAGTTGATTGATCACACTCAACGATTTCTACTTGTGTCTAATCTTTTGATGCTTCTTGGAGACACGGTTCCTGCGACTACTTTATGGCTGTGTAGGGCCCAAGGGCGCAAAAAAGGGGATCAACCTTGCCAGCTCTCGACTGTTCTGTTCAGGCTGTGAACTGCACAGAAGACCGTCATGATGATAATCATCATCACCATCAACATGCTCGCCACTACCACCATCACCAGCATCACTGTTATCACCACATCAGCATCATCATGCCACCAACATGATCAGCACACAAACAGTATAGTAATTAATAGCAATAGTAATAATAATCCTAATCATCATCATCATCATCATCAGCAGCAGCAGCAGCAACAGCTGCTGCTGTGGTTTGTGCGGATTCCGCCCAGCTTCAAGCGTCCCCGCACCTGCTTCCGCAGCGCCGTCTTCAAGTCGGCCATGGGGCGACCGGAAAACTGTCCCGGGCGATCGGTGAACCTGAACGATAGCAAATCAACAAACCCTATGTTTTTCTTCATACGGGTCATAGGCTAGGTTGAGAGAGCTACCCATAATTAGGCAAAGTGATGCAACATTCGAACGTCGCCGGACAAGACAACATAGGTAAGACTGGGTTTCTTCAAGCCCAAGAAACCTTTGGAGCTTGAAATTTTGACTGACGCCCCCCAAGGTTTCCTGGGGAGCACTATCACATTCATTGAATACACCAAAGCGGGTTGTGTGATTGAATTCACTGGATTTGTTGTATTGTATTGTTTCGTTTTGGGTTCTAGGGCCCTCACACCGGAGGGGAGTCCATTCCTTTTCATTCCTTTCTGGGGAGGTTGACCACATGACACTGAAGTGAGATCGCTTTCAAAAGCGCTCGCGCTGAGTTTAACTTTAACATACTTTAACTATTTGTGTGCTTCAACTTGATGCATGTTGCATGCTGAATGGATGGCAACGGCTAAGCAACAATGGGGGGCGTTTGGCATCGTTTGTGTGGAACCTGCTAGCAACGTTGAATTCCATGGACTCTTTGACCGACTTCAAATCGGCTAAAAAGTCCCAAGCAAACATCGGAAAAAGGTCCCAAACAAAAGGCCAAGCAAAGGGAGTCTACAGATTGAAGACAGAAACCAATCTTGAAATCTCATTGGGATTGGGTAGCCAAGGGCCATCCCCACATGGAGAAATGAGTGGTTGAACACTGGTTTCCATCCCCATCATATAGGGTCACTTCATCAGGGAGCTATCGAGGTCCATGAAGTGTTTACTCCATGTCTTGACGCTACTAGGAGCAAAGGGCATCGCTACGAACGGAGCAAGGATGCTACGAACGGGGTTCCTGGGCGAAGGCCCAGTACCCAGCGGACGACTTTCAGCTCCACCGGTGTGCCCTGTTTCTTGCTCCATTGGTGGTTGAAAGAGAATAATTGAAAGAGAATCAAGTGTCATGTAACAGTCTATGATTGACCGTATTTTAAACACACTCTCACACACTAGAATAGTTTTGCATATCCACATGGGGCTACAAACATGTTAAGTTAAGCAACCATCTACCTTCGAGTGGCACCTTTCCACACTAACTGTCAAACCATCCACGCCACTTCAAGTGGCACTGAGTTCTGCACTCCAAGCCCTTCAGCTCGATATGCACCTCAAGCGCTGCCACTCTGCTCGTGGCTTCATGAGATAGGTCTATGGCTTCAACGACCGAAGTGGCGTGCAAGTATAGTTATCACAGGAAAGAAGTGTGTTCCATTGTGTTCCTGAGGCTTGGTTTCTCACATCTTTTCTTATTCAAATGTTCGGACAACAAAGACCCAGCCGATCCAGCCGATGGCTCAAAACCTGTTTCTTCTACAACCAAACAGGAGCCCTGTTAAGGGGGGGTCATCATGTAATGTTTCACCAGTCCTTTTTGATCATCACCACGTCGAAGCAACACCTCTGCCACTGGCGACTCCGCAGACATGCACTTCAGCCAAGGAGGCTCTTGATTAAAGTGACACCCCATGTGAAGAGGCCGCAAGAGGCCTTTCAATCCATGTCTGGGCTGGGGGTATTCATCAAGAGTCTGGCACCGGGCCACCGCCCGAAGCAGCTGCGAGCGTCTGGAGTCGGTCCTGATCGTTGAGCTTCCAATCCTGTTCTGGACTTCAAGCCAATCGGCCCTTCCCCTTCCCAGGCCTTCATCACCAGCGATTCGCTGGTCACTCGTGATCAGAAGTGGACTCCTGGTGGACGTCGGTCGCCCGCATTGGTGCGCGTCGAAACCTCCGTCTTCGCGGAGCCTGCCAGGAGCGTGGCGGTTGCCATACATGAAAGCGCGTGGCCGATGGACTGCGCCGAATGGCGTGATGTCCAACACTGGATGGACTGCGATGGACTGCGCCGAAGCTGCACCGGACGCCTTGTTTTTGGTCGTTAAGGGTGCCTAAAGGGCAACAAGGCGCTGCTGTCATACACCAAGCGGTGCAACTGCTTCCTTGGGTGTTTTGCTTCGTTCTGTTTGTGAGAGGCGAAATATAACTGCTTTTTATTGATGTGGCTGAGCTGCATTATGCTGATGTGTAGTTCTCCTTGTGAAAGCAAACACCATGCAGGATATCCATGCCTGGCTAGTGGTGAGTGCGCGTACCGCCCAGTACACACACCCTTTGACCTGAACACAGTCTAGAATCGTAATACGAGGTGATTGGTGTCCAAAAGCCGGGCTTGGTTTCGGTCCGACTGTGGCATGTGTGTTTCGTCCAGGTGTAGTAGGATCAAGGGGTGACATGTTGCTCCCGAAGCTCGGTCCGAAGCGCAGGTCACCATGTTTAACCGGTCAAATGCAGCTGTACCTATATATTAATGGTGCTCAGTGCTCAGTGCTCAGTATATATATATTACATATAAATGCTACGCTGCCTTTTTTGCTGCTTAGTTTGATGCCTTCATGCCCCCGAAGCAGAATTATTGAATCCCCTGCGCAACCGCTGATTCTTCTCGAGCCCGGTCAGCCAGCAATGAAGCGGCCTCTCAGAGACAGCTGACGAACGTCAACCTGATTCCAACAAGTCCAGCGCAATCAAATTTAATACGAGTTGAGATCACCAGAATCCCTGATCACCTCCTTGTATATTAGATCTCCATTGACACAAACATCAAAATGAAGGATGTCTCATGAAAATAGCCGGGAATCCAGACCCATAACTGGTCAAGTGCTGTATATAAAATAAATATAATTACTAAACATGTTTCCTTGGGACTTACAAGCTGTGAACCGTCAAAGGCTCACTTAGCATCACTTAACTGTCCCTCATCCTAACTCGTGCTAACTCTACAGCTTGGTGATCACGTGTGCATGATCAGGGTCCCAAACATGCGAACGGTCTTCAAGCAGTCGCACGGCAGCGCAGCACGCCGCGGTGCGGACTGCCAGTCTGTGATCCAGAGACGGATCATCGAGGTCCGATAGGCCTGGCCAGGTCGTTCTGAACCTTGACCGCACGGCCGGAAGTCCATGATCTCAGCTCTCTGCGCGCAGAGCGGAGCATGGTCGTCGAGACCAAAACAGGGAGTCCGTCAAGAGGGAAGTGGATGGCGAGTTCCACAAGTTTCAACTGTCGAACAAACTGAATGTCCAAACCAAAAACCCGACAAAACAAAGAAAAGAAATCACGAAGATACCTGATGGTACTCGCAACCGTCCGAGAAACATGTGAAGTCGCCAGGGCCGAATGATCCATCAACCATTTCTGGCCATTCCCAAAAGAGACCGGATGTGGGATTGAAATACTCACCTCCCTGAACATAAAAATCAGTTCAAGCCACGAGATGGCAAACAACGGCGAGCCCTGTGCTAACTCGCGAAATTGCCATTGCAAAACAGCGGCCATAAACTCTGGACACCATATCGTGAAAACAGACTTGTTGTACAAGTCGAATTCCCAACTCTCACTAAGGCCTGGTAGCCAGGAAACATCTTCCAGCGGCACCGGCGAGGGCCAAGTCAAGTCGGTGGCGTCATCATCAAGTGCCGCTGCAGCGGAGGGCTGCTCGGAGTGAAGTCGCTCAGCAACATCAAGGTGTAGGGCTCGAAGACACTTCAACTGGGCTCGTGTCCGAGTGATCCAAGCCCTATGCTCTGCCCACCACTCCCAAAAAGCTGGAGTACGGCTCTGTCTGGCAGCCAACGCGGCCTGATCAGCCTTGTCATTCCAGTAGGTGCACCAATCATCAACGTCAACGATCAATTCAGGCAAGGGGCCATGGGACGGAATGTGGACAACTTGAAAATCAGCTGCCAGGCCCGAAAGCTCCAATCTCATCATCATCTTCATCATGATACTCCGGCGAGATAGAGGCTGTCTCACCTTCATGCAAGCGTTTGCGCCCTTTCTTCTTTTCTGAATTCTTGTTCGTACCCGCGTAAGTTCTCAATCCACCTTGTTCATCAAAGGTCATCGCTAGTTTCTTGATCTTCTTTGTGGGATTCTTCTTGGCTGTGCTATCCCAAGTTATGTCTTTGAGTTGCAATGGCTGCTCTTTCTCTTTCTCAAGGCGGTCCTCCGCCCGCTTAATTTTGGCCTTGAGCTTTTCTCGAGAGCCCCGTTTGTTTACTGTGAATGCCGTCAAATTCCAGGCTTGCAAAGCCTTCTCCAGTTGCGAATTGTTGACTTTCGAGCTTTTGACAGCACTAAAATGCTGTCTGATATTTTCGACCGTTGCCTGATTTGTCCTCATGAACTTGAGGTCAGCCGGCGCGCTGATCTGCACGGACTCAAGGATCTCCTTTCCTATAGCTGCTGCTATGTTGAGTCTTCTGGCTGAAGCTCGCAGGCTCTTCAACTGCGTTGCCTCTGAAATGGCCTCAAGAGAGGGCACCTTGTTGCGCGTGCGCAATGTTGAAATGAGTGCCGGGTGCATCAGATGTCTTACCTCCAACAATTTGGATAAGCCCTAGTACACTGTAGCCATGTCCGAGTACAGCGTAGGCACAGACAGATATACAAGTTTGGTCTTGACGAGCTCAGCCCTCTCGACAGACCGCACTAGCGACCTTGCCATGGCTGGTCCTACCTCAACCTTAAGCAAGAGAGCTGGGTGGCCTGGCAATACGACCCATGGCCTTGTGATCTGCTTCATTGAGAAAAAGGATCTGACCAGTGGCGTCTTCCCCAACTTGATGTAGCTGCATTGGGTGGCCAGGTCTTGACCCAATTCATGCCTCCGAACCGACTTCACCATCAAATACAACGCATCTCGGTGCGCCTTGGTGCGAATGTCAAGGCCGAGTTTGAGTGCTACGGTCTCGGTAGACACGTCAATTGCAAGGTTCTCAGATCTGTTCCTGACAGTGGCCGATCCTCCGCTTCCTATGGCTTCGCTTGAATTGCCCGCCAGGGCTCCAAGAGCGTGAACCCTTGCGTAGCCAAGAGCCCCTATTGATGTCAATAAGGAACATGCTGCCTTGAGGTTCTTTTCAGAAAAGAGCGCCTGAGTGCTCTTAGACGCAGCTGCTCTTGCATCATAATCAAAGCCTGTCTTCAACAGCTCCTGAGAGATGTTTTCAGCATAGGCATAGTCTGGGATGTCTGCATAAGGATGAAGCCCGTCTCCTTGCCTTTTGTTGTATCGCCTCCGAGTCCATGTTGCCAATTCCTAAGAAAGATGAAACAGACAGTGCAACCGTTGCCACTGCCTTGTCAGCAGGCACGTTCAAGAACAGCTTCTCAGCCAAGTTCATGGCTGATCTGACCACAGATAAGCTTCCTGGTCGTCCAAGAAACTCTTTGATGTCCTTTGAAGACGCGATAGTAGGTGTTTCTGCTGTGAGCAAGAAAGATGATTCACCTGGGCTACCATACGTAGCATCATCGTCATCCAAGGACAAGACCCAATACTCATGAGGACATGCGCTTTCAATAACACCGCTCTCGATGATGAGGTCGAAATCATCGTTAAGCCATGTTGTCACTGAATCAGCTTCGAGCAAATCGTTTTGTCCTTCAGATAGATAAGAGGCCATGGCTTCGTGAGTTGCCAGGTCTCTACCTTGTTTGCTTGAGCCAAAATGGCTACGGCAATAAATATCCTAGCAAAGCAAAAAAATATCCTAGCATCGAGTATCACCACTGAAAAAGTCCTTCCCAACCTCCCTGACAGTTCCGATCATGTCACTGTCACTGACCCGCTGTTCTGATCGAGACATCCTTCCAAATTCCAAACAAATGGGTGTATATTGACCTCCTCAAGACCTCCTGAAAAAAGGGAAATCATTAGCCCAGTCTACCCAAAGGTGGGTCTACCTATTTCCAAACCAAAACCGCGCCCAAATCGGCCACTGCCCTGCAAAGCCTGGGGCGGTTTACAGTCCCGCGGGCCCCCCAAACCAAAACCTCTCGTGCTCTTCACGTTCGGTCCGACCATCTCGTCCGAACACCACCGGTGTCGGTCGGGTGCGATCCAAAGAGCCGGTGTTGAGTCGACTGAAGGGTCGTACGGTCCGACCACTCGACTCGGTGTGGTGGTGGTGTGGATCCACTGGGTCCACAGGTCGATGCACTGGATGCTCAGGGTGGTTCGACTCATCCTGTCTGAAGGTGATTCTCATCTGGTCATCCTTCATGTAGATGACAGGATGAATGACCAGCCCTTTCCAGTAGAATGAAGGTGATCCTCATCATGTGGTCATCCACGATCTTTTCAGCATAAATGAATGTCCGTGATGTCTTTTTCTGCCCACAGTGGCCCTCTCTGCGGGGCCCCCGACCGCCATGCTCTTCCGGATGGGGGCCCCATCCTTGTCCACGCCCGGATTCGCAGCTGCAGCCGCGACCTGCGGAGGAGGTCTCCGGAGTCTCCGGAGGGATGGTGTAAGATCCCAAGAGTAAAACGATTTCCCATACACTCAGATGTGACCGCAAGAGTTACATACATTGGGGTGGTTGAACAGGGGTGAATGTATATGCCAGTCCCAGGCAGGTGTCTGGGAAAGGGACTGCCAGTCCCAGGCCAGCCGCCAGCCCTGGCCTGGCCAGGGGTAGAAGGGACGTGAGTTGGGTGCCGGTGGCACCCACATGTGGATGGGACTCCAAGCCACTCTAACTGGCAAATTACATCAACAATCATGGAGCTCTGAGGGTGGACAATGGGCCTATACCATGATGTGGGTGCGGAGTCGTTTTTCTGTCTGAGGTGTTCCAAGAGCTCTTCAGCATTCTCCCAAGATTTTGGACGACCAAGTGATGGCTTTGAACAAGCGCCCGCAGCTGAATGATAGTGTTTGGATGGGGGAATCCGACGTTTTTTTTTCTGGAACAACCCAACCAGACCGCTTGGCAGGTCACTCTTGGGCCCTGTTCCTCCCCTCCCTGGGCCCTTCAGGCTTGGCTTCACACCTTCAAATCGGTCGTGTGGTGCGGATGAGGTCTTCGGATATGGGGATTCGGATGCTTTCTGTATCACCTGCATGTCTGATTGGCATGACCATGCATTACCATGAAGATCCTCATGATCCTCTGTCCTCGCATTTGGGTGATGACCCACCATGTGGATGATGCGTGGGTTTTCGGGTGTCTCAAGGTCATTTTCTTCGAACGACAAGGCGGTGACCTTCTCTTATATCACTCTTGTCGTTCCCCCAGAGAACGAACATGCACAAATGCATTCCGACAGCCCAACCAGAACATCAAATGACTCACTTTCCTGCCTAAATACATCCTAATCCACCACTAGCAGTTCGATGCAAATGGAGTCAAAGTCCTGAGCTTTCAGAATCCCCCGGGACTTCCTACGTCCACTGGAAAAGATCTAGCTCCTAACCCTGAACCACAACTGGCGTGGGAAGGACCAGGTGCTTGGCCAAAAGTTACCCCCCCAAAAGAATGAACAGCATCAAAAAACATATATATATATATAATATATATATATAATGGACACCTCATAACCTCCAAGGAGCTATTCTTGGACACCCCTTGTTCGGGGGCTCAGACCCACCCCTAGTTCCAGCCACACATAAGTCTTCGGATCGAGTTTGTTTGGGACTTCCACACCTCCTCGCTGATGAGGCTTCCGGGACTGGCCTGAGGCGACCGTGAGGCGACCGTGTTGGTGCGTGTTGCGTCAGCACCGCAGTGAGGTTTTGCAGCTATCGCATGGGACTGGAATATATATATATATAATTGTTGCAAGATAGATAGATAGATAAAACATCATTAGATAGAACAAATAGGAACGATAGGTAGATAGGTGATGGATTTAAACATATATGTATGTATATATTATATATATAGTTCGTTCATGTTCGTTCCCTACATTGAGACACCCTCAAATAGACGCCTACAGGCCTGGGTAGTTTATAATGTCGACATAGGATTAACAGCACCCCCTCATTTAGTTTGGTCCGCCTTGGGGCCTCCAATAAGTTCAACAAAACCTGGTCTCAAGATTCTGTTGCGCTAGCCCTCACAATTGGTTTGGTCCACCTATTTTGTTTGTGAGATTGTTGCTTCAATACTAACTGCCCTTCTTGCCTTTCTTTTGCGGCCACCCTCCACTTCCAAGACCAATTTAATTATGGTTGGACCAATCCCTCATCCGGTACCTCAAACCTTGCTGACCTTCCATGTAAAACCCCTCATAACCCCAATACTTCACCAAACTCCAATAGCCAATAACTAAAAGCTCCAACCACTAATCAATCCTTTTGCTGCTGCTGGTTCATGGTTGGTTCATGCCTTTGGGATTGCCCATCCAGCAAAGTCATTTGCCAAAAGTCATTTGCCAAATGGGCCAAAGTGGTTGATATGTGCGAAATTCCGCGCACACTCTGACATTGGTTTTCAGTTACACTCAATTCCCAGGTCGAAAATGGTGAGGGAACGGCATGGTGAGAAAGTCAGTTCACTTGAAAGGTTGAACAAGCTGTTTGTGCGTGACTGCAGAGCTCAGCGGTGGTGAACAAGCGGTGCAACTCAGCTGCAAAACCGAGGTTTCGGGGGTGGAAACATGAAGTCCATGAATCAAAAAGTGGAAAAGTGGAGTAACAGCTTGTGGAAGAAC